TATACATATATATTTATCTATATTTATTTATAGATATATATATATATGTATATAAATTAAAACTCTGATGAACCAGATTCTACAAAAACCTTACATTTAAATTTTTATAGGTTTTCATCATCATTTGATGTATTTGCACTCGTGTCTACTTTTAATGTTCATTTTAAATGTGTGGTTTCCTTTCTTGTTCACATATATACATTTTATTTTTAGCTTTGCTTTAAAGTTCTTGTTTTGTGATTTGTACATTCGTGAGTTAAAATAAAGTTGAACTGAAGGTCGTCTCTTTTCTTTAAACATGTTTGAGGGAAATATTCCTGATATCCAATAGTTTTGTGTCTTTTTATGATTTTCAGCTGAATTAACAGTCATTAAAGTGAAAACAGGATTTCATGATGAAGCTGGCACCGTCTTTTTTTTTTTTTTAATCTTCAACGCTCTGCTGGTCTCGCACGACACTGCCCGCAGTCACACAATCCTCTCCTCCGGAGAGGAGGAGGCTGGGAGGCTCATCCTCCCAGCTCCAGTTAAGCTGGTGACTCACAGAGGCTGTTCCAAGGCTCCAGCCGCGCGTAATCATGAAGGTCCGACCCACGCAGACAGGCGGGCAGAGACGGGTCTGCGACGAACGGTGGAAGCGATTTTAAAAAACCTTTTACGTGTAAAAAAAAAAAAATCATTTTTAAATCGCTTCAGCATTTTTTTTAAAACATTTTTTGTATAAAAACAAAATATTATTTTATTTAAAAATCGCTTCCAGCGTCTGTCCCAGACTGTCCAGTCCGCCTGGCTGCCGGGTGGGATCGGGATTCAGCCTTCATGATTACGCGCGGCCGGGGTCTCGCAACGTCCATCTGCGAGTCCCCATCTCCAGCTTCGCAGTGACCTGCGGAGCTCTGAGCACACAAGGCTGGTATCCGGAACCCGAGCCTCCGAGTCGGCACATCGAAGGATCTTCCGCGGTGACCAGCTGAACTTGGAGCCGGGGAGATGACGCCCTGCCCGGTCTGGTGCTCGGAGGCTCCGGAGGGAGGATCGGGTACACCAGCAGAGCTCCATCCAGCTTGCTCTGAACTATGTTGTCGGTCACCAAGCACAAAAAATGCCAGCACATCAACATTAGACCAAGATGTTGTCAGTATTGTTTTTAAAATCTTTAAAATAAGTCCAGCCGCTGCTCCAGTCCGAGAAATTGCAAATGGCGGATTATTGTTTTGAAACGTTTCTGAAGGATCCAGTGACTCCGCCCCCGACCTATCAGTGACCGACAGTGTACTGACGTCACGTTTTTGTACCTCTTCGTACCGGTTAGAACCACAGAGCCAAGGGTACTGAAAATAGTAACAGGTGCTAAGTACCGGTACTAATGGAAAAGCCTCAGAACCGGGCCAAGTAGGGTCGAGTCGGCCCGTACCGGTACTAATGGAAAAGGGGCAATATAGTCGTTGTAGTACTGTGCGAACATGGGTCTGGTGGGACTGGATGTCAGTAGAATAAATCAAAACGTCGTCTAGGTACACAAACACAAATTTATTGATCATATCTTGGAGAACGTCATTGATGAGAGTCTGAAAAATGGCAGGAGCATTAGTGAGTCCGAACGGCATCACCAAATATTCGAAATGTCCAAAAGGGGTCTTAAATGCAGTTTTCCACTCATCTCCTTCCTTGATCCTCAAAAGGTGATAAGCGTTTCTGAGGTCCAATTTTGAAAAAACAGTGGCAGAAAGAAGTTGTTCTTGTACTGAGTTGATTAATGGAAGTGGGTACTTGTTTTTTATGGTTATTGCATTCAGACCTCGGTAGTCGATACACGGGCGGAGTGAACCATCTTTCTTGTCTACAAAGAAAAACCCCGCCCCTAATGGGGACGTTGAAGGGCGAATGATGCCAGATTGTAATGATTCGTCTAAATACTTTTGCATAGTTTCTTTCTCGCTCTGAGAGAGGTTATATAGGCGACTTGAAGGGAGAGGGGCTCCCGGCAACAGTTCGATTGAGCAGTCGTATGGGCGATGTGGAGGTAAAGATAATGCTTTATTTTTACAAAAAACGGGCGCAAAATCATGATAAACCCTGGGTATTTTTGACAAATCAGGTGGAGCGGAGGTCACCTCCTTTATTGTGTCGGACGGAAAACTAGCAGACCTTAGACAGTTCCTTAAACAAAATTCGCTCCAAACACTGACTCTTTTCTTCTGCCAATCAATGATGGGGTTGTGTTTTACCAACCATGGATAGCCCAAAATAAACTGCGGTGAGGGAGAATGAAAAACCATGAACTCACCCAGTTCTCTGTGATTTCCGGAGATGATGAATGGTAAGTCAGTAACCTCCTGGGTGATAGTGGTGATGTTTTTTCCCGTGACTCCAGCCACCGGAATGGGGTAAGGAAGACTTCTGGTAGGTATTTGAAGCTCATCTACCAAATCTTGAGAAATAAGGTTCCTCTCAGCTCCCGAGTCAATGAGGGCCTCAATGGAGTAGTGTCTCTGTTGAAGCATAATTCTGGAAGGAAGACAAAAACGTGAATCAGGGGCACAACGAGCTTCACTCACCAGGATCCCCTGAATGGCTGGTGAGTGCTGGAGTTTAACTTGTTTGGGCAAGATCGCACAAAATGTCCTCTCTTTCTACAGTAGAAACATTCACGTGCTGCTAATCGTCGTTGCCTCTCCTGCAACGTGAGTCGGGTTCGTCCGATCTGCATTGGCTCAGGCTCGGAGTCATAGTGAGTGGTATCAGGTTGAAACGTGGGTCCTCTGATAGCAGGAAACGCTGGAGGAAAAGTTGACCCGGAAGCCATCGGTTCCGCTTGGCCCCGCCTCTCTCGAAGGCGATTATCGATCCTGATCGCCAAACGGATGAGATCATCCAACGTCTCTGGCTCATCTCTAAGTGCCAGTTGATCCTTTATTTGATCAGAAAGTGAATTAGAAAATACTCCCTTTAGTGCCACCTCATCCCACCTGGTTTTCTCCGCCGCAACCCAGAAGAGGATGGCGTATTCAGCCACGGTAGTTTGATCCTGTCTCATAGCCAACAGACGGCGGGACGTCTCCTCCTGGTGGACAGGGACATGAAACACACTCTTGAACTCCTTAATAAAGTCGTTAAATGATAGTGAAACCACAGGGTGAGACTGAAGGTAGGCATGAGCCCATTCAAGAGGTAAACCTCTCAATGAAGTAACGATGTACGTGATTCGGGATGCAGAGTTTGGGAACAGAGAAGGAGAACGTGCAAATGCTAGTTCACATTGGAGGAGGAAACCATTGAATTGTTCCGGGTTACCTTCAAAAACTGCGGCCGGCCGAATCTCCGGCTCACGGGGTTGTTCCGAGTGGGCGGTGCTTAGCGCTGGCAGCGCTAATGGTGGTGAGACGGCCGGCGTGGGTGGAGTTAGTGTTTCCATTCTATTTCCGATGGACTGAATCATTCCACCCACCGTTTCCAGATTCGACTGTGTAACCTTGTGTTGGGTAATTAGTTCCTGTAAAAGAGCTTCATTTTTCCTTACCCTCTCCTCAAGGGTGACCTGATCAGCATTCAAACCGTTCTTTGACATATTGTGGCCAGAGCAAACTGTTAAGGTCTGTAGGTGATGTCAAAGGCGAACGGTTTGAAGCAAGGACTAAACAACTTGAGGTAAAAAACAATATTATTTATTTGGTTCAGGTGTATCTGGTGAACTCAAACTCAGGATGGATCCATTGTCGTTGTTGTTCCAGGAGCATGAGAACAGGAGACAGGATCCGAATCCAACAACCCACGGTGGGATCAGGTGAGTATATTTACAAGTGTATTTACAAAAATCACCAAGGGAGCCGGGGTGGAGGTGAGGAGGAACCAGGAACCAGGTGAGGCACACAGGAGTGAAGGTGGAGGAGGAGAAACGCTGCTGTCATGCAGGGAGACCGATAAGGAGCTTGAAGTCAGCCAGCCAGTAGTCACAGGAACATGGAGCTTGGTAGAACTATGCCCTGGCACTGATCTGGAGTGAGGCTCCAGATTAAATAGCTCCTCCACCTGGTCCAGGTAATGAGCAGCAGCTGTGGAAAGATAATTAGAAGAACACAAACAACAGAGAAAGGAGGGGTAGAGGAGCCAACCTCTACAGTACCCCCCTCCTAACGATCGTCTCAGGACGATGACATCATCCGTTTCTCAGGATGGTCTCGAAAAAACGCCTCTATCATCCTGGGGTCCAGGATGAAAGACTTCGAGATCCATTACCTGTCTTCAGGTCCATAACCTTCCCAATGGACCAGGAACTGGAAACCCCTACCCCGTCTTCTGGAATCCAGGATACGGTCGATCCTATATGCCGGGTGGTTGTCGATCAAAAGGGGAGCTGGGGGGGAGCCGGTGGGAGGGTTGAGCGGGCTGACTGAAACTGGTTTTAAGTTAGAAACGTGGAAAGTTGGATGGATCCTCATGGATGGTGGCAACTTGAGCCTGACTGCAGAGGGGTTTATGATCTTCTCAATAGTGTAGGGGCCAATGTACCTGGGGGCCATTTTGCGAGAGGTGTCCTTTAGACGGATGTCCCTGGTGGAGAGCCATACTGATTGGCCCACCTTGTAGTCCGGGGCTTTGGAGCGATGTCTGTCAGCCGATTCCTTGTTCCGTCCGGCAGTCCTTGACAGTGCCTCTCTAGCCTGCATCCAAACTGTCCTGCATCGGTCCATATGATCCTTGACTGACGGAACCAGGATTTCAGTCTCCAACAGAGGAAATAGGGGGGGCGTGTATCCAAGGGAAGCCTCGAAAGGTGTCAGGCCAGTAGCGGATGAGGTTAGAGTATTATGTGCATATTCCACCCAGAGCAAGTGCTTTAACCAGTCAGATGGGTTCTTCTCAGACATGCACCTAAGGACGGCCTCCAACTCTTGATTGCATCTTTCCGACTGTCTGTTCGATTGTGGATGGTATCCGGAAGACAAACTCACAGTGGCCCCGATGGACTTACAGAACTCCTTCCATAATTGGGATATGAATTGTGGGCCTCTGTCCGATACAATGTCTGTGGGTAAGCCGTGAATCCTGAAAACCTCTCGTAGAAGAATCTGGGCCGTCTCAAAAGCCGAAGGGAGTCTTGTGAGAGCAATGAAATGGGCAGCCTTAGAAAATCAGTCCACGACAGTGAGGACTACGGACTTCCCATCTGAAGGTGGCAAACCCGTCACGAAGTCCAAAGCAATGTTTGCCCACGGTCTATCTGGAACTGGTAGTGGATGAAGTAGACCCGCCGGTGGTTGATTGTTGTTTTTATTTCGGGAACAAGTGGAGCAGGCCCTGACAAACTCCTTTATGTCCTTTGACAGTGTCTTCCACCAGAAATGTCTCGGTTGATGCCGGGATGACAGGTGAAGTGATGAGAATGAACCCAATCCAAAACCTTGTGGACAACACTCTTTGGAACGAAGATGGTGCCAGGTGGTCCCCCCCCCCCAGGGTCAGGTTGCTGAACTTGAGCCTTCTTGATCTCCTGTTCAATGGGCCAGGTGACAGTTCAGACCACACAGGCTTGTGGCAAGATCCCAGAGTCCTCCTTCTCTCGATCGGAAAAGGAGAATTGTCGAGACAATGCATCTGGTTTAATATTCTTGGAACCAGGGCGATATGTGATGGTGAATCTGAATCTCGTGAAAAACAACGCCCACCGGGCCTGACGGGGGTTAAGGCGTTTGGCGTCTTGTAAATACGCTAGATTCTTGTGATCAGTCCAAATGATAAATGGAAAATTGGCCCCCTCCAACCAGTGTCTCCATTCCTCGAGGGCTAGTTTTATGGCCAACAACTCACGGTTTCCGACGTCGTAGTTCTGTTCAGCAGGAGAGAAACGTCTTGAAAAGAAAGCACATGGGTGAGTTTTATTATCGTGGGGATCCCTTTGAGAGAGTACTGCCCCAGCACCAATATCTGATGCATCCACCTCCACAATGAACTGACGTTGGGGGTCAGGGTGACTGAGAATGGGTGCAGAACAAAAACGTTGCTTCAACTCACGGAAGGCTCGATCGGCTTCGGGGGTCCAGTTGAACTTGAGATTCGTGGACGTAAGTTGGGTGAGAGGGGCTGCCGTCTGACTGTAGTTCCGGATAAAACGACGATAGAAGTTCGCAAATCCCAGGAACCTCTAAAGTTGCTTTCTATCAGTAGGTGTAGGCCACTTCAGCACCGCTCGGATCTTCTCAGGGTCAGTGTGGTAGTGTCCCTCGTTAAAAATAAACCCAAGGAAAGAGACAGAGGTTACATGGAATTCACACTTCTCAGCCTTGACGTAAAGTCGGTTCTCTAATGCCCCTTTTCCATTAGTACCGGTACGGGCCGGTACAGCCCGGCTCTACTCTACTCGGTACGGTACAGGTTGTGTTTCCATTATGCTTTCAGTACCGGTTCCAGTGGGCGGGGTTCAAACTGACGTCACGGCCTCTCACCAGCTGGTGGCGCTGAGACGCAGAAACTGTTTTCAGTACAGGTTGAGAATTTATGTTATTTTGAAGTTGTGTGTATGTATGTATGCATGTATGTGTGTATGTACATGTGTATAAATATA